GTGCTGCTGGTCCTGGTGTGGCCAAGAGGGGGGGGGTATCCACCGGGGCGGGACCTGCGGCTCCTGGGCCGCTTCCAGCGGCGGTCTCCATCGCCGCGTCGGTACCGCAAGGATTGCTGCAAGCTGGTTCTCTGCTGCTGCAGGCAACCTCTTCTTCTGAGGAGGCAGGGGGCGGGTCGTCCGTGTCCATGGGGGGCGGTCGCCGACCCTCGGCGTCTTTGTCCTCGCCAGGCAGTGAATTTTCCGCGCTAGGCTGCGCCCTGCCGGTGCCCCCGCTGTCGCGGGACAGCTCCATCCTGGCACTGCTGCAGGCCTCTCCTCCGCTGTTGACGCGGTAGTTGCCTCTGGCAGTGTCCCCGGGGTGGGTGGGAGCTTCTGTCGCACCAGGACCCTGAACCCCTTCGTCGCCCCCGAGGTCGCCCCCGTCGCCGCGCCGCCGTGCAGATGACTCCGCGCAGCCAAAGCGACATCGTGTGGGACGTGCGCTCTGCTGCGTGCCCCACCGTCGATGTCTGCTCCGCAGCTGATGGCTGCCTCTTCTGATCCGTTGTGTGAATCGCGCTCCAGGGTGATTCCAGGGAGGGAAGGGAGACGCGTCGCGGTGCCACCGCCCGTGGTGGGGGCGTCGGCTTCGCCCGCCGATAGGCTCATTACTCCGTTTCCTTCTGGCCTGAAGAGCCTATATTCTCCTCGTAAGGTCTGCGGGCCACCAGGGGCGCCCGTGGGGGCGTCAAAGGGAAAGTTCAATGATGCGCCAGGGCTTGGATCCCGGAAGCCACGAGTGCCTCGCTCGCCGATGGGTGGATGGGGGGCGCAACTCTGGGGAGACCTGTCGCAGCTGAAGGCAGCCGTTCCTTCGCCAGCCGGGGGGGCGCCGCAAAGCTCCCCTCTTCCAGGGGGGTCGGGCGGATCCCAAGCAGGGCGCCATCATCCGCTGACTCCGCAACTGGGGTGTCAAGGTGGAGGTCGGCATGGTAGGTGCCCTGAGTGCCGCAGGGGCCCCGGCCCTGACGGTGGAGTCAGTAGCGCGTTGCTGACTCCAGGCGCTGAGATCAGGATTGGGGCAAGTGCCCCCCGTGATACCAGCGCCTGTGGCGTCGGGGCCGTCGTGCACGTTCCCTCCAGGAGCGAGGGCCACTGGAGGGCCCTGAGGGTGGAAGGGAAGGGTGGGAGATATGGAGTCGAAGGTGAGGAGCAAATGGGCAGTGCTGTCTTGCCTACCAGGCTTACCAGGGTTACCAGGGTTGCGGCTGAAGGTCGCTTCTTCTCTTGAATCTGCCAGGCTTGTCCCGTGGGGCCCCTCGTCTCCTCGGCTGAAAGCCGAATTGTCATTCATCCTTCCACCAGGGTCAGCGGGCTCGATCGGTAGATCCGACGTAAGATTGATCGTTCTGAGGTCGGTCGGATCTACTTCTGAGCCTGGCGGCAAGGGCTGTCCAGGAGGGATCTGAGACGGGGCGCTGTCCAGGGGGGAGTTAGCTGCGGCTAGTGCTTGGACCCCCAGGTCCTGCACTAGGCTCGTGCCCCCGCTTTGTCTTTCAATGGGGAGATCGGTACCACCATCCGAGATCCCGTCCTCCATGGGGCTAAGCCTGACCTGGCAGGCTGCTGCTGCGCCTCGCCGGGGCTGCGCCGTGAGCAGAGCAGGGCTATGGCCGGCCGCGGCCAGAAGGAGGCGGCCCCCGCCCAGCGATGCGTCGGGCGCCCCTTTGAGCCTGGGAGGCTGGTAAGAGAGTACCAGGTCCAGAAGACGGCTTGAACCAAGGCTACGGAACTGCTGGTGGGGATGCGCGAATCGTCAAGTTTTCCTGCTTTGGCCAGTGCCAAGCCAGACAAACAACGGCGCACCAGACACTGCCGTGATGCGAACATGATCCCGATGGTTGTCCATATGGTTGCCCCGGTGGCTCTGCTAAACCATAATTGCACAAACATGTGCCCTGCGAGGTTGCAGCAACGGAGACCTGCGCTCTGCGAGATGATAACAAACAACATGCGCTCTGCGAGGCTATGGTTGTCCCGATGTTTGTCCCGTTGATTGTCACGATGGTTCTGTACGGCCATGGTAGCAAGAATATGTGATCTGCGAAACCACCATACAAACCATGCGATCTGTGTTGTAAACGGAGGTCGGGGGGGTAAACCTAATTGAAACGTGAGGTGCCCCAACCTGGAAATCAATTTGTTCTGTTCGTGTGGGGAGTGCGGGCGAAGCGACGCTGCGCAAATTCCTGCTGTGGCCAAACTCGAATCAGACACAACAGCGACGCCCGGGACCTGGCCGTGGTGTGGCACTTGTCCCGATGGTTGTCCATACGGTTGACCATATGGTTGTCCCTCTGGTTGTCCCGATGGTTGTCTCGATGGATGTCCCGATGGTCGGTCCGATGGCTGCCCCGATGGTTGTCCTCATGGTTGTCCCGATGGTTTTGCCTGGCCATAAAAAGAAACAATTGTGATCTGCGAGGTTCGGGGAACAGAAACATGCGCTCTGCGATGGTATTATACGGGAGAAATCGTTGTGCCAAGGCATGCTCACGCTGTGCTCTGCTAGGCGATCACAGCCAAAACATGCGCTCTGCGAGGCCATAATGTGAAGCATGCGCCCTGCGAGGAAAACCATACAAATAAATGCGCCCTGCGGGGGCAACACTACCAACATGTGACCCGCGGCGCAAACACCGATTTTCAAAATAAGCCCAGCAGGGCAAATAACGATGAGGAAGCTATATAACCCACTGAATCAGCAACCGAATGTACGGCAACCCGTGGGAGCCAATTTACAAGCAACAAGCACCTATTACAAGCAACTGCTAGCCGATGCCCACACATGTATGTATGTATGTATGTATGTGTATGGATCTCCGTACATCGATGCATAATGAGCCACATGACTATCCATACACGTATTTGTGTAATAATCAGCCACGTATACATACTTTCACATATACACACATGCGTACCTACGAACATCCATACCTATACACGTACATACATACACACATGTACACAAGCATTCATACATCATGCGTACATACAAACATATCTATATACACATACATACATCCATGCATGCATACTACATACACACATGCACACATGCATACCATACAAGCATGTATATACCTATTTAAATATATGTACAGATGTATGGGCACGTGGTTATGTATACATGCAACTTGCGCGTCCACTGCGCATCAATAGTGAGGTTGCTCCCCCGAACCTCCTTATCACCCGAACTGTGGTCGTATGGGTACACATTGAGACTGATAGACCGTCAGCCCCGTTGTTTGATGATACTTTCATAGTGAGGTAGACAGGTGAACTTCGAGATTGCTATACCGTATTATGGTAAAATCGACAGACAAGTGGTGAGACCGCTAGGGACTGCGCTCGACCGATATATTGATAGTGAGATCGATTGGCCAACAGTTGGACGGACGTATAATTCGATGTATAGATCAATCCATTGTGAGTTCTGCATATAAAGTGATCGATCGCCAGCTTGGTCGTGGGACCAGGAGCTGCTGAGCTACACGCGATTGACTCGATGCTTTGCCCGATGATTAACCCGATGTTTGTCTCGATGTTTGTTCCGATGATTGTCCCGGTGGTTGTCCCGATGGTTGCCGTTGTCCCAGTTGTTGTCCCAATGATTGTCCCGATTTGTAGATAGATAAATGGAATCGACACGATATTGAGGCCAATATGTGAGATGGAACATTCCTGGTATCGATAGATATATCGAGATATTCGCAGCGTGACACATCGGTACACTGTGAGATCGGTAAATTGAAAGATTGAGACTGGTCGATAATGTGGGTGAGCAATCGATGGCACGATCGACCGATGCATCAATCATGAAATTGGTATACTTACGGAGAAACCGTTCTAAAGTTTTTGTATACATACAGTATAATGATCCCGTTCTAATACATACATACTTACGGAGAAACCGTTCTAATATATACTTCCTGAGAAAACCGTTCTGATACATACTTACAATATATGATCCCGGGTCGAGGGTTCACAGCCGCCCACAGATGGGAAGGGGGGGGCGAACGACGACGACGTCAAGACGACGACGCTGACACCAACGGAAGACGACGACGCTGACGACGCCGACGCCGACGTCGACGGACGACGGCGACGACGACGCCAACGGAAAACGACGACGACGCCGACGCCGACGACGACCATGAACCACCCCAGGCCCACAGGTGGAGAGGGGGCACCAGCACCCACCACTACGCCACGCCCACAGAGCCACGACTGCGGGGGGGGGGAGCGATCCCATTCATTCGCGACGACTGCGGGGGGGGGGAGCGATCCCATTCATTCGCGAAGCCATTGCCAGGCCCAGGAGCGTACCCATCCAGCGTGGGGGGGAGCTCGATCCCATATGCATGGGGGGGGCAATGGCCCTAGAGAGAGAGAGAGAGAGAGAGAGAGAGAAAAACAAAAGAGAGGGAGAGAGAGAGAGGTGTGTGTATACACATATATATATATATGTCCATACAGCGCAACCCCCTCCTGAAACATTTAGGTTTCCCCGTTTTCTGCACCCGGGAACCAGCTTCGGGCCCGAGAGCTGTCAAAACACTGCTCAGGATGAAACGCCGCCCCTGGAGGAAGGATCGGGACTTACGGGGACCCCGCCTGCAGAAGTCAAACTATCGGGTGTCTGGGTGGGCTGCTCGTGCGCAGCCCTACCCTCGACCCCAGACCACCACCGTCGCGGCGCGGCCGTGGCGACCGCCGAGGCCGCCGCCGTGGCCTCGAGCGGAGAACGCGGAAGGTGGAGATCGAGAGCAAAGTGAACACAGCCCCCCCGCCCGTCCTCCGTCCCCCCTCCCTCGCGTCCCAGTTCGCCTCCCGCGTGGCGGTGGAGCGGGCCTCGTCCCCCCGCTCTGGGAGCAAAGGCCCCCCCGCGTTCTCTGTTCCCGACTTTAGGTCGCTCCACAACAACCTCCCTCGCGCGCCTCCCCCCTCCCCATGACGTCCTTGTCGCCGGCGCACTGGTCGGTCCACAGCGTGGGGCCGTCCCTCGCCCACAGGAATCCGCCGTTGACGCTGGGCAGCCGGGAGCTCGGACGGACTCCACCAGCCGGGCGGCTTGCCCCAGGCACCCCCTCTGCAAAGGTCGCGGGGCCCCGTTCGGGACCACGCGGGGGGCCTCCGAGGACTCTGGGAGGCTTCGGGGGGCCTCGAAGCTCGGAGGTGCCGCAAATTGGTCTGGCCCGTTGGCCCCCATAACCAGTGGCAGGGCCCCCCTCCTTCCTTCTCCCCCCTCCTCCCTCCCGCCCCATCCCTTGTCCTCCCTCCAGCTCCTTCTGAACCTCCCTCGTCCTTCTCTTGTTTCTCCTGCTGCTCCTGCTGCTATTGCCCCTCCTGCTTCAACAACTCCCGCTCCTCCTCCTCCTCCTCCTCCGCCTCCTCCTCCTCCTCCTTTGCCTCCTCCTCCTCCTCCTCCTCCTCCTCCACCTCCTCCCTCCGCGAAGCAAGGTCTTAAAGGTCCCGATGTTGACAAATGCTGAAATTCAACGTCGCTCAACAGAAACAATGCCTTGAAACATCAAGACAAGAACTCTTGTCCAGATCCCCAAGCGTGGTTGCCCGAGCCAGAACGACCCGTTGGGCCCCATGGCCTCCAGTGTGGCGCAAACGCCCGCTGCCTTGTTCCCACGGCGCCCGGATTTGAGGGAGGTCGCGCAGACATCCGCTCACTCATGCCATGCACCGGGGCGCGTGGGCGACAGAAAACAACTTCAGTCAATTCTCGCCGGTTAGCGGGAGTGGCGGCGCGACGGCGGTCGCATACTTTACATCGTGCGCAGTCGGGCGAAAGGGGAAGAGGAGGTGGGGAGGGGGAGCGGGGAACAAACATAACAACGAATCACAGATGCCCGTCGGACTAGCTGCGCTGTTGCGTATGGCGCTTTACAAAGGCATCCCATTGCCGTGTATGCGCTGTAGAAGCAAATCGCGCGAATTCAAGCTCGGCGAGATCACTCTGTGCAGCTCCATTGCCCATCCTCTCTTCGGTTGACCGCGCTTGCGTGTGAGCGCGGCCGCGGCAGAGAGCATAGTGTCAGGCTGGAAAGTGGCTTGTCTGAGAAAATCTTTGTTCGACGCCGTACCTATTTCTCCATGCGGCGTATGCTGTTGTCGCAGAGGCTGGGTGCTGTACGGGTCCTGCCGAGCCTCCTGCAGGACGGCCTTACTTGACACGCGAGACAAGAAAATACGTGGAATGTGCAGAATTGTGCAGAACTCTTCTGAGGCACTTAGCTTGGAATCCATCCAGCCTCCTTCTTTCTGATTGGTTCAGCCAAGCGGTGGAGAATGAATACGAGACCTTGCTTGTAATTGCTGTTTGAAGCGTTTCGAATTTACTGCTCTTACCTGCGGCTGCCGCTCGTTCAAGTCTTTCGCACCGCAGCCTGGGCTGTACAGGGTGGCCCCTGGGTATGGCGCGTGGTCTGGGGCAGGGATCGCGCGGCCCTCGGGGATTCGAAGACGAACTTCGCACCCGATCAAGACCAACAGAATTGTGTCCCAATTCAGTTTCATATCCCGGCTCGTGCCATAGCCCACGCAACAGCATCCAACAACTCGTCTAAGTATTTTTGGGAAGATACTATGAAAAGAGTGTCGCCGCCGTGTGATAAAATAGATATTTTGCCAACTTCAATCTCTGACCCCGCTTCTTGCCCCAGTTTGTCCGTCGCATCCCTCTTCAATGCTGTCATGGCCATCGCAAGGAGGAGTGGGGAGAGCGGGCAACCTGGAGGCATTCCTGATCGTCGCCGTGGCCAGGGCGCCTGGGGCGCGTCAAAAATACGCAGAGGTGGCGAATGCCGAAAATGTGGGCAATGAGCGCGAACGCTTGTGAAGGGGCCCCGTACCTCCGCAAGGCGGCAATCATCGCGTCCATATGTTGATAAAGTCGAGCGCTTTCTTCCAACCTAGGGCGACGAATGCAATGTTCCCATCTTTGGCCGCCCTAGCCGCCTCGAAAGACCTACGGGCACTATGGGTCCCACCTGATGTGCCTCGTGCGCGTCTGAATCCGCGCTGCGTTGAAGCTCGTTGGAGCCGTTTCAGCAATGCGGGTGCCAGGAATTCGAAGGCCACACGTCGTGAACTTATCGGCCCGTAGTCGTGGCGAGCGTCGATTGCGACCGTGTTCTTGTGGATGGCGCTGATGTTGGGCTCCTTCCGCTCTTCTGGAACCATGCCTGCTTCCCGGCCAGCGTTGCGCAGATTCGCGCGCCTCCTGGCGTCTGAGCAATTGAGTTCCAGTGTTCAGCAGGAGTGTCGTCTGGACCATTTGGTGTTCCTCGCTCCAGCGCGGACGCTGTCTCGCCAATCTCTCGCGCCGAAAACGGCGCTTTGTTCGCCAGCAGTTGGTCTGCAAGTGGGGGCTCGTCGGTCAATGTCGCCGGTCTGATGTCCACTGGGCTGATGTCCACTGGGCCATCTCGAAGAAATCGGCCATTGCGCCAGCCAGGTTAATGTTCCCAACATCCCAATTTGTGAGCTGCCCTTGCTTCGGGGGCTTCGGCTTGCAATGCTTTCGCAATGCGTCCCAGCTACTGGTTGCGATGGCAGAATCCATCCACTGTGTTTTATCCTCTCTAGTTGATATCCTCACCCCCTTCAAAAGACGACTCTCTTCCATTCGATCGCGTTGGTCCTGCGCCGCGCTGCGCTGATCGATCAAATCCATCGCGCGCTGGGATGTCCACGGCTTCCGTTTGCCAGGAACAAGGGGCAGGAGGGCCGCTTCTGCAAGGATCGCTGATGCTGCGCCGCTTCCCCATACATTTCCCACTAATCCTGCAGTGTCCGCGTGGGAATTGCAGCAGACGTCTTCCAGACAAGCGTCGTTGAATAGTGACTGAGCTCTGGGATCGCTGGGGGCGGTCTTGTCCTTCCGCTGGACTTGCGCTGGCGGTGGGTCTTCGTTCGAAATGCCAGTGAGGTGCGGTCGAGATCGCGGTCCGTTGCGCTGGCGGTGGGTCTTCGTCGAGATGCCAGTCCGGCTGGCGGCGGGCCTTGCTGCGCCCGTCGCCACATAGCGGTCCGTTGCGAGAGCGGCTCCCCTATGCGCGCGGCAGCAGATCCAAGATATTGTGCTTGTCTTCAGAAGTGTCCTCCATGGGCATCGCGCCTGCTTCCGCGATGGAGGTTGTTGTTTCATGTGCGGGTTGATCGACGAAGGTATTTGCGACGAGTGCGCCACGACCAATGCAGAGTTCTACGAGCAAGTCCCTGTCGGGCGCGCCAACCTGGGTTGCGGCCCGCCTGCCCCAAGTAAAACCCAAAAGCGTTTTCTTCTCCCTGATCAGCGCGGCCAGCCCGGGCATTTACATCGCCCGATCTGATTATCTTGGCGCAGGCCGAGCATGTCCCGCAATCTTCATCGAGGTCGCTGTAGAATTGCAGTTTCTCTGGAAACGACCGGGGGATGGGCGGGGCGTGAACGTAGCAGACTATGGGCATATTTTTTCCCGGGCGGAGCTGTAATTGAGCCGTCCGGTCCGAAGTCTGTTTGCGGGCCTCGATGTTGCCGGCCCTGGCCAGCGCCGCAGAGAATCCAACTCCTGCCCGAGATCGATCGTCGGTGTCCGCTCTGGGAAACAACATAGAAATTCCACTATTCTCGTTTTCGTGCTCTGCCGCCTTGGTGGCCTGGGTCTCCTGCGGGCGTGCGATGGGGATCTCTTGTCTCTGCGCGCGAACAATGATTCCTGCGAGCTCGATGTCTGTGAAACCCCGCGCGTGCCGTGTGGCAGCCTTGAGGTCGTGCTCGGGTGAAATATATGTGAAGGACTTGTCGCGACGGGTAAGCGGCGCCCTTGCCCTCCCCGCCCCCTTCCGCCGAAGGGCAAGCGATGTCTTTGCCCGCCCCGCAGACGTCGGCGGCGGCGGCGAAGTCGACTGGGGCCGGGCGCCGACGCATCAGCCCAGAGAGACGCAGCGACGCGAACCGACCGAATGCGGGCCGCGAGGAGAGGTGCAATACTACTTGCAACAACTGGTGCCTTCATGCAACGGCTTGCGCGTTGGATGCAATAGTTGCGCGTGGCTGCTGCTGTGGCGTAGCTTTGTTGCATGCAATAGTTGCCGCCTGTGCGCCAGTTCGTGCCCCCCTGCAATAGTTTTGTGTTCTGACTGCGCGCAGTAGCACGCAATTGCGGTGAAGGCATTTTACCTCCTCCATGACGGCTTGCCCGCAATTCAATTCAGAAGGGCGCGCCGAAGTCGCCCAGGAGGGCCCCTCAGGGAACCGACGCCATTGCCTCGGCCACAATTCAGCCCCGTGGGCTAGGGGTCAACCTCGTCGTTCTGATCGGCCCTCGCCGCTCTCTCGGCCAGTGGAGGGACCCGCGGGAGGCCGAAGCCATAAGCGTCGGCCCCAGCTCAGCCCAGTGGGCTCGGAGCCAACCTCCTGACCTTACGGCTTACGCCTTATGCGACAGGGCCGCCGAGCCCTCGCTCGGAACCGAAACTCCCTCGTTCACACTGCGCGAGCCCCGCGGGCCGCGGCCCGTGGGTCCTCGTTCCAACCAGGGGCGCGGCGCTGCACCTTCACGTCACCTTCGTCGCCGTAGTCTATGGGCGCTCAACCTTGGGCCCACCAGGGGCCGACTTCGATGGCGGTGCAGCCAAAATCTTCCAGGTGAGCCGCCATCAGGCACTGCCCACCTGAGCTGCTTTGCGAGGCACCGTCAGAATACTGCACCGCGGCCCCACTGCTAACCGCGCCGCCTGCACTGGCGCCGTCGCTCTCCAGCGCGCACTGCTCGACGCCATCGCTGCTGAGGGTGGCCGCCAGGTCTTCGCCAGCGGCCCGCTGCGCGGGCACCTCCTGGAAGCTGCCCTCAAGCCAAGCTCGTGCGATTCTGGCCCGCACGGCCCACCGCGCCCCCTGCTTGACCTTGTCGAGCTTCGGCGCCGCTGGCCGGCAGCAGTCGCCAGCCGGGCCCTCCTCCTCGAAGGTCTTCCTGCCCTCGTGCTCGGCGATCTCCTCGCCGAGGCTGTCCAGGACAGGCGGCACCTTCCGCTCGGCGAGGCTCTGGTGCGTGAAGTCCGCGTCGAACTTGGCGGGCTCGCCGTCCTGCGCCGCCCCGTCGGCGTCCAAGGGCGTCTTTTCATCGATGCTACCGTGCAGCACGTGCTCGCCCTTCTCCGCGAAGAGCATCACGTTGTGTCCGATGCTGGCCGCCTCGACGATGGCCCTGCGCACTGGGTCAAGGCCAGCAGCCAAAACCTCCAACAACACGTCGGCCTGCAGATGGCCTTCCGTGACCCACTCATGCTGCTGCTGGGTCTCGCACCTCGCGGCAGGCACGAACTCCGCCACGTTGGAGTGCAGCCAGCGGCGTGCACCTGCCCTCTCCGATGCACTCCAGCACCGCAAGGGGATGCCCCTGCGGCATCGCCGGCGGCCGTCCAGGCCCCCCAGGCGGAGGGGCATGTCGAGCCATGTTGCCGCCCTTGAGGTTGTCCTCCGCGGCGGCCAGGGTTTCGTTGGCCACCCCGACCAGCTTCGCCGCCATCGCCTCATCGCCGAAGGTGGGGAAGAACACAAGAACACGCCCATGGTATCGGCGAGGTCCCACTGCGCCACGATGGAAGCCCGCAAGGTCCGCACGCGGTAGCCGAGCGCCTGAGCTCGCGAGAAGCCCAGCTCGTGCCGCTGCTGCCTCCAGAGCCGCCGCGCCAGCGTGCGATCGCTAGCGGCAGCCCAGGCCCTGCCAGACATCAGGCCTCTGGCGCGCTCCCGACGCGCCGCGGCGGGCGCGCAACACGAGGGCCTCCCGACGCGCAGATCACTTGGGCCAAAATGGCAACGGACGGTGAAGGCATTTGATGAGGAAACACTGGATCAGCAATCCAACCACCGCCGCCCTCATCAGGAGAGGAATCCTCCTGGGCCTGCAGCCTCCTGGGCAGGGGATCTGTCAGGAGAGGGGGTACGAGGCCAAATCCTTTCAAAAACCGTCCCCAACCCCCTTCCAAGGTCCATCCGATGCAATTCTTCCGACCTCAGATCCGGTTTTGACGGCCCTGGGGCCTGAAAGCGGCCCCCAGGGGTTGAGAAAGGTACGGAACACCTCCTGGAAGCCAGCACGTCGGACCTCGCCCCCCCGCCCCTGCCTGTTGGCCAGAACCAGCCCTGGGCCACGCCAGGCCCCCAGACGGCTCCGCCCTCGGCACGTTCCTTAGCCAACGCCCCCCACCGTGCAGTCAAATCAACGGCCCAAGGACACACAAATAAATACACACGAACAACATGATCCCCCATATTTCCCAATAGTTTCTGGGCTTTGTCTTCCCGCCCAACTCCCCTATTTTCCCGTATGTTCCTGGGAGTCGACGATTCATTGTGTCTGTGTGTTTTTTCCCTCCGGATCAAAACCAAAAACAAAGTATTGTGCGATAAGGATGCAAAGCCCCTTGGACGCCCGTGTTGAAGCTTTCTCGAGCGCGGCGGGCCATCGAGAGCAGGCAAGGCTGGACCAGAGAGGCACGGATGCAAGGTACGGTCGCCCATCTTTACCACCGGTTTCGGCTGTAATGGGCGATGGCGCTTCTTGCCGTCGACCCGTCTTGGCGGCGCGCGCGCGCGCGGGGGTATGGGGGAGGGGGGGAGACTCCTTAGGAGGCTGCTTCTTAGAAGGCGCGGGCCTTACATCTATAGAGAAGGCCCGCGCCTTCCCAGAAGCAGCCTCCTTCTAAGAAGCCTTCCTCTCCTCTCCCCTCTGCGCGTGGCCGAGATTGCGCTTCTCGCCAGACCTGCCACATTGATGGAACGTCACACGCTTTTTATGGCCACCAGCATCCACAAAAAAAACGTATGATGCTCCAGCAGGTTTTTTATGGCCACCAGTAACCATGAGCAAAAACAGGTGATGTTCCTAGAGGCCTCCTAGATGGGGTCGGAACAGATGGGGTTGGAGGATCGCGCCGCATCGCCGATACATCGGCGATGCATCGGCGAGGCATCGGCGATGCACCAGCGCTGCACTGGCGATGCACCTGCGATGCACCAGCGACGTCGGCGATGCATCGGCGCCGTCGACGTGAAGCAAATCGGGCTCCACATCGAGCCGCATCTCCGATGCGTGGGCGATGCGGCGCGATCCTTCGACCCCACCTACTCAGACCCCATCTGGGAGGCCTAGAAATGGTCCAGCAAGCTTTGTATGGCCACCGGTAACTGTTAAAGACGTGTGATGTTCCATGTCTTTGTTGCTTTTGATTGCCATGCTTAGGTCGGGCAGGTCCCCCTGCAGGTGGATTTTGAACGAAGAAACAAAAATACATACAACATGCTCCGAGATAATCAAACCATGTTTTTTAAAAACATCATCCCCTGACTATTTTCTCAATATGTTTGAATATTCCTCCTGTGGACGGACAGGCCCGACTTAACGCCATGCTCTGGAAAGACAGGGCGACCCGCTCTCGAGCGGCCGCGCGCGCCTCGCCGGCGGGGCCGGCGCGCCCCCCCCGGAGAGCGCCCGCGGAGGCGGCGGCAGCGGAGGCCCGGCCGAGCTCGGGGCTGCCCGGACGGGGTCCAGGCTCAGGATCTTGGACGGTGACCTCGGTCCGGCAGCAGGCACGATGGCGTCAGGTTCGCGTCGTGCTGACCCTGGCGTCGGTTCCTGACGCCGCGGGGGTCGGTCAACCCTGAACGATTTGGCCGTTTCCGAAACGTCCAAATCGTTCCACATCGAACGATTCTGGGTCGCCCGCGGCGTTCAACGTTGAACGCCGCTGGCGGGGTCGCCGCCAGTCGACACGACACGAACCTACCGTACGTTGCATCTTCGAGGGACCTCGCCCGTCCCCAGAAGTGGTGTCTCTTCTGGTGCCCGACGCGGGCTCGATGCCGACGCGACGCGGATTTGGCGTGGATTCGACGCGGACTCGACACGAATTCGACACGGATCCGGCGAGTCTGACGTGTATTCGATACGGATTCGACTCGGACAGGGCCGCGACGGGACAGCCAAGGTCCCCCAAGGATGCAACATAAGCAAGGGCTCCCCCCCCAAAAGTAATGGACTGACAAGGTGGGCCCAAGCTCAGGAGCTCGGACTGGGACCTCAGTCCGTTTACACGCCAGGGTGGCCCTACTACCCTCGAAAAAGTTAGTGTCAGAAGTGCGAACACAAACTACTCGTACATCTGATGTTCTGGGTATGGGTACTTGGTGGCGCCCCGTCTCCAATGTCGGTCATCGTAGAGCTCCCAAATCGCACCGGCCCAGGCCGCGAGTCGCTCTGCTTCTCGGCGGCGAGCGAGGAGAAACGAGAAGGAGAAGACCTTCTCAGAAGGCGGCGGGGCTTCCCAGAAACCCTCTGGACTTCTGAACGGTCTCCTGTGTCCTCGGGGAAAGCTTCGGAAACTTCTCAACAGGCCGGAGGACTTCCGAGCCTTCTGAGGAGACCCGCCCCGTCTCACATCACCCCAGGGCTGGTCGTCGAACTTCGAGGTTGACGGGGGCGAGATTGACGGACCGAAATGGGGCGACATTGCAGGTGCGCGTCAACAACTGTTGAGGCCAGGCTTGCCGAGGGCTGTAGAGCAAGACAAGACCTTGGACGCGCAGCTTCTATAGGGAGGGGGGGCGGCAGCGCCCAAATACAGGCGAACGAGCCGCTGCTACGGTCAGTGTGTTGGATACAGCATCCAGGGTCTGGAAGCCGGTGTAACTCCAACTGAGCGACAACAAGAAACGGGTCTTACGCGATATGGCACAGCGACCTTACGCGGTGGCCTACGCAGGCCGCTTACGCGCGGCACGCCACATTGGAGACGAGGGCGCTTACGCGCGCGCGCGACCTTACGCGGGCAACTCGCGCGCCAATGTCGGCGCAGGCGACCACGTTTTTCTGCCGTCGCTCAATTGAGGCTTGGCCCTGGATACCACTGCTGACCTCATCAGATCACCTCAGGTGGTATTTAAGACCCCCTCCGTTATCGTTAGCACCGCACAACAAAGTCCAGGGGGGGATTCGAGCCGAACGATAACTTTAGCACCGTGCCAAACAGCAAAAAATATATGATCCACCCTCCCACCGCAACCGAACCTATGAGAAACACTGGCGGCACGTGAAACTCCTGCGAATTTTTGACTTGAGCGTGCGCGGCGCTGAGGCGAGAACCACATCTTGAAAACGACCCGCCCTCAAACCGTGAAACTCTTGCAACTTTTGAAACGAATGTGTGCGGCGCTAAGGCGAGCGCCACATCATCCTCCAAGTGCCGGAAGAAACCTTCCCGGTGCGGAAAGTTTTTCATCCTTTTGCCGAAAGGGTGGGTATGAAATACTTCCTGAGGTTACGGAATTTCCCAGGGTCTGAAGCCTCCTAGGCACATTCCTTACAGTAGGGGCTCGACCGCAAGAAACCTTCCACAAGAAACCCAACCCTGAGACCCCAGGCCGTCCTTTGATTTCTGGTGCGGGAGCATCGCGCCCTCCACAGCAACACCATCGAAACCCGAGAAACCTAGGGCCCCCGGGAGGCAAGCCGGGTGTTTTTTAGGCATGGGTCTCCAATGCATTCGTACCACATCGTCGGGGAACCTTCTCGAAGCCGAGGCTCGCCGTGGCCAGAGAAGCACCTTCGTTCCCTTTGGACGGCGTTCCTTCTGGTAGGACGCTGGCTCTATGGGGGGCGAAGGGGAGGGGAGGAGGAGGAGGAGGAGGAGGAGGAGGAGAAGGAGGAGGAGGAGGAGGAGGAGGAGGAGGTGGAGGCGACGCCCCCGTCGTACCACATGGCGTTCAGCGAACGGGGGGCCACAAGCGAGCCTGCTCTGGAGGTCACTCTGGCCACGAGGCTCCTCCGAAAGGGCCCTGATCGGCCCGCAGGGCGCCGCCCGAGCCAGCACCGGAGCCCGCCAGGCCGCTCCTGTGCCCAAGGTTAGGTCGGTCGTGTCCTCCTAGAGGCTGATTTTGTACGAGAAATATAAAAACAGAAATCTTCAAAAAATCTCTGAACTTGGAAAAAACCGTTCCCAGACATTTTTTTGTGCCAATTTTTGCACTTTCCTCCTGTAGAGGGAGACGCCCGACAAAAGCCCAGGGCCAGCGTCTTCGGCCTTCTGGCCATGACAGGAGGCCGTTTCCCAGACATGCGGCGCCGCGACTTTTCCAGTATGGGCGCCCCAGAAACCCCAACCCTATCCCCAAGGCCTGTTTGTGATCCCGCGCCGTGTCTTGACGGTCCCGGGGCCCGGCGAGGTCCCCCAGGGGCCGAGAACAGCGAGGAACCGCCCGTCGCGGTTTTTTGTTGCGACGCGGGCATGTCTGGGTTGCGGCAGGTTTGTGTCCTGCCGACTTCGGCGTTGGTTTCTGACACCGCGGGGATCGGCCAGTTCCGAAACGTCAGAGCGTTCAACATCGACCGATTCTGAGCCGCCGGCGGCGTTCAACGTTGAACGTCGGCGGCGGGGTCGCCGCCAATCGACACGACGCGAACCTACCGTACACCGATCCCAGGCTCAGGCTGGGCCTGGCCAGGGTCGGTGCACGTGCGCACCTGGCTTCCCCCGATCCGTGCGCCTGGCGCGGAGGTGCCACGCCGCGTTCCCTTGGGAGCCTCATCTTGAGAAGTGTGCGGGTTCTTCCCTGGGAACCTGGGAGCCGGCAGAAGCCTCCGGATGCCGCCTGGGACGTCGATGAGGGGCAGCTGGGGACCATGACCTCCAGGACTCCAGGGGCCATGCCTCCTTCGCCACGATGGAAAATCGAGACGTTTGTGTTCCCATACGTTTTGGCCGCTGGGAGTTCTCGCTTCGGGTCCACGGGCTGTCCAAGAATCGACGGGGAAAAACTGGCCCTGGGGAGGGGCCAGGAGCTCCCAGGGGACCGCGGCACGAACACCGCCAGAAGTATGGGATCGCTATGCCGATCACCCCCAAGACACCAGATGTTGTTGTTGCCGCTGCCGCTGCTGCTGCTGTTGAACTCTCACAACTGAAAAATAATTATTGTTGATCCCCCCCCTCCGGTGCACATTGTTTTTTCAATTGAAGTGCCCCTCCCGGCGCTCGCACCCTGTTTTCATTTCTTATCAGGGAGACCCTTCCTCCTCAAATCGTGCTCCTGGCCCCCGGTTTACAACAACAACGACTCCATCTTGATACCTCCTCGAAATTCGGGTCCCCCGCTCCCGCTTGAGACTTCCTCACGATTTACTCAAGAATCGCGCTCCCGCCTGAGACTTCCTCGCAATTTACTCAGGCGCCGCGCTCTTGCCATTCAGGAATCGCGCGTTCGCTGGGGTCCGCCCGTTAGGGTCCGCCCGCGGGTCTGCAAGCTCCACCCGCCCGACCCGCCCGTTGGGACTGTTGCCCGACCCAACCGTCCGGGTCTGCCGCTTGTTTTCCGGATCCTCTCTTAAGCCCCCACCTTCTTCCGCAGTTCTGCTCCCTCCCTCTTGTCCCTTGCCTCCCTCACTTCCCCCACTCCTTTCCTCCTCGCTTTCTCTCTCCCTCTGTCTTTCTGTCGCTCTCTCTCTCTCTCTCTCTCTTTCTCACTCCTCTTGCTCTTTTAGGAGCTGCGCCCAATACACATGGCAGGTCACGAAGATGTACCCCCCAGAGGGGGTACGATCGAAGACGAAAAGGGCGGGTATCGGGGGTTTTGGATTTACGTGGTGAGGTACGCGCGAGAAGATAAGAGCGAACAATCTTGAACTAATTGTTGTTGTTGCTGCTGTTGCTGTTGCTGCTGCTGCTGCTGTTGTTGTTGTGGTTGAAATTTCATTTCTAAATAATGATTATGGTTGATCTCCCCCCTCCGGGGCACGGTGTGTTTTTTGATTGACATGCCATTCCCAGGGCTCGCACCCTATTTTTATAACGGAACATCTTGAATCTCAGAATTGGGTTGTTGCCCCCCGGTTTACAACAACAGCGGCTCCCGCCTAATACTTCTTTTCAATGTGTTCCCACATCGTGCTCTCGCGCGGGAATTCCTTACAATTTATGCAGGAATCGCGCTCTCGCGAGGGACTTCTTCGCAATTGATTCAAACACCGCGCCTGCGACACTCAGGAATCACGGTCTCGCTGTGGACTTCTGCTATCGCTCGAGACTTCCTCGCGATCATGCAAGACGCACGCTTCAGCGATCCGCCTGCTCGACCTCGAAAGGGTCTATCCGCCCGATCTGCCCGTCTGGTTCTACCACGTGTTTTCTGCTCATAGCCTCTCCCTGCTACTCTCTCCTCCAAAGCTGCGTGAAATACACGTTGCAGGTAAGAAAAGTAGGATGTCAGCCAGTGTTGACTCTGAATCGATTAGACGACTCAAACTAAGGAACCAGAGGAACCGAACATGCTTATAATCCGCAACTCAACAAGCAGCCAAGCGTGCAAGCAAGCGCGCAAGCAAGCGTGCAAGCGCGCGAGCAAGCACGCAAGCAAGCAAGCAAGCAAGCTAGCAAGCAAGCATACATTAGGGGGGGTGCCATTGGAAACATGGGGGTGGGTGGGTGGAGGGGGGCGCCATTGGAAATAGGGGGGTGCCACTGGAAAAAGGGGGTGCGCAGAGGTGGTGCATAAGCGTAGGCACAGGCATATGCATAGGAGC